TGATCTGCTTCGGTCAAGTGTCTAAACGTTTAATATTTTTGACAAGCTTCCCAAAATATTCAAATTCTAAATGACATTTTTTTCAACCAGGATGTTACTTTCACATTTTGCAAGGGGCACCTGGGACATCTCAAAAGATTTATTCCCTCTCCTTATAAAAAGAGAGAGATTACACTAATTAGCCTTATTTGATATGTCAAATTACATAGAAGCATGGTCAAGTAAGCGATAATAAACCTTTTTAGGTTATACTGTACAAGTGAATGTTACTAAGAAATGTTCTAGTCATTTTATAGAATTCCTAAAAATCTGATATGTCCTAATATAATGTTATTACCTGTAATTCTAGTTACTATCTAAAATGTATGTCACAAAAATACCCAAATTTTCTTGTCAATTGTATTTACCCATTGCCTTTTTTTAAAAAGGCCTTTTGCCAGTTACAGACAGTTACCATTTAACTCTGAGGCTTTTACAAATGTTTCATTTTCACAGAGATTCTTGGGCAACTTTGACAAGTACTCGGAGTGCAGGTGTTGACAACTTTGACAAGTACTCGGAGTGCAGGTGTTGATAACTTTAAGACCCGAACACCAAACTGGGTGTGAGTTTCTGGAACTCAAGTGAAAGGCTGACTGCTTTAATGTTTTGTTTTCCAGATGTAAAGGACCCCTTTTCTCCTCTCCTTTAAGCTATTTACAACTTAAAGCAATTGGTAAAGTGTATCTTTGCAACAAGGGTTGAAACCATTTATCTTTTTCTCTCTGCCTGATCCCTCCTGAATTTGGAAACTCTTGAGTACTCTTTTCATGACAATGGATGTATTTGCATGGGCTCAGTGAAGGTCTGTTCTCCTTGTAACAAAACACATTTGGAAATATTGGCTACATTACCAAGGCATTGACTAGAATGTTATATTCAAGAAAGATGTACACAGACTCAGATATGACTGACAGCTTTAAGAAACTGAAAAACCAGCCTAGTACCTTGCTTACACAGTTTCAGCAAAGCAATCTTAAAAAAGAGCTTATATGGTGAATCACTATTTTTGCTGCATTTACATACAATCAGGCCAAGTGTAATACAGATTACTTTTACTATAATTATTTTAAAAATGGGGGTTACTGCGGAGAGAGAAATTGTTTGCACTTTTGTAGATATTAAATTCTAATCCTATTAATTGTCTTCAAGGTTTTGTTATACCTGTAAGCTGGACTGGATCCTAAATTCTTCTAGTTTCCTTAAATGTCTGGCTACAATACTCCAAACTGACGTTTTCAATTTTACTGCCCTTGAAATCTCCTTGGAAGGGACTATAGTAGGCCCTTCTCACTACCCAGACGGCAGCCAAACCTCAGGGACTCTAGCCTTGGGTGCACATCTCAGAGCTGAAGAAGGCTCCACCTGACACCTGGTCCTGAACAAACACTGGAGAATCCAGATCGCTAGGAAGAGAAGCAGCCAGCATCTGAGGCAGCCAGCTTTCCCCAACGACTGGACCAGGCCTGTATTCCCTCTTCCCACTGTTGTTTCTTATTTTGCTTTCTCCCTGTCTTTCCTGGAAGGATGATGTCCTTGTTTGCATTACCCAACCCCTTGTGAAAGGGGGAAACCTCTCTGATTGCTGAATTTGCCATCAGAAACCTCAGTCTGCCCAATGACCCAACAGTAATGACTCCTTAGTTCACCCTATAAGTAATTTCACTGGGATTCCAGATGTTGTTCTCTGTCTAAATTGATTTGCCTCCCCATTTTACTGAGTCAGGGTGCTAAGCCCAGCTAAACTCATTCCTTGCTTTAATTTGATCCAGACTTGGGGGTGGGGGGGAAACAAGATCTTTTGAATATTTGTATGAAAAATTCTGTGGGGCCACCAATGTAACCCAGGCCATTTGTAAATTTCTTGATATACCCACGTATATATGCAACCTCTCGGTGTGTAACAACATAGTATCTCAGCCTTGGTGATATAATGCTAACGCCTCTATGCTGATAAACAAGTCTACAGATGATATCACTTACGCAGGGGTCTTAGGCACACCCCCTGGTTATGTCTTCATCTGTGGAGGTTTTAGTAATGGCCTCTATCCTTGGGCAACTCATTGCCTTGACAGCTGGAGAATACAAAGACAGTGTGCCCTTGCCGTCTTCACTGTTCTGTTCTCTGCATAACCAGAGACTTCTCATTGGTCTCTCGCATTGAATCTTCATGGTTGCCCTCAATGAGAACTTCCAGGACGCGGACATGACTCTGGGTTTGCCTCCGCGGGAAGAGCCTTCATCTCGTGGATTGCAGTGAGTGCCAATGAACAAATGGTCAGGAACCTGTCCCCGACACTAGAAGAGCTGGCCAACTCCACAGCTCAGCAGTGGCAGCTTAACTCATTGGCCAAGGTAGTTTTGGATAATCATATAGCCCTTGATTACCTACTTGCTGAGTAAGAAGGTGTCTGTGCAATGGTGAACACCTCCTGCCGCACGTGGACAGATGCCTCTGGGGAAGTGGAAACCCAATTACGTAAGATTAGAGGGCAAGCACACTGGCTACAACAAATTACACCTAATAATCCAGGCAATTTATTCAGCTGGTTACCTCCAGGTGTGGGCTCCTGGTCTAGAACCATCCTGCACACTGGGCTTATAAGTATTGCTCTTAATCTTACTCCGTATACTTGTGTGAGCTTCTGTACCTATTGCCTCCAACCTCTGTAAAAATGACATGCCCAACAAGGTGATGCTGACTCAGCACTTCCAGATGATCTCCAATGTCTACAACCTTGGAGAAATATAGACTTCGAATAAGAAACGCCTGCGAGTTCTCCCTCCTAACCTTCCTTGTTACTCAAATGTGGCGTAAACGGTTTCTAACCACTGTGCACCTTCCCTCCAACATGGTACACAACAACGAGGAAAGGTCCCTTCTGGCTCTGAGGTACAAGACCATTACATGCAGAGAATGTGACTGTTGATCAGCGATGCTTTCAGAGAAAAATCTTGACCAAAAGAGGAAAATATGGAAATTAATAAGAGAAATCTTTAACTAAACTGGAGTTGAGAAGGCCTGTAGGGGGAGCTCTCATGCTCTATCATCACTTGCATCTCTAGCAGGAAGTACAACTCACTTTACCACTGAAGAAAGATTCCTCGCCCCACCCGGCAACAGCCCAGCCAATCAGAGATGCCACAGATCAGCCAATGAGAAGCCATTGCTGCCCTGAACTGTCACTCTCCCCCAGTGGCCTTTCTTTACAGCAGCCCCTCCCCACTCCTCCTTTTCTCTATAAAAGCAGCCCCCCTCCTCTGTTGTCTGCATTTGCCTATGGTTTGCTGTAGCATGCACATCCCGAATTGCAATTCTTTTGGCTATTCCTGAATAAACTCATTTTGAGAATAAAATGGGTGAATTTGCTTTTAAGTTGACTTTCTGCCTGACAAACTGGACTGTATCTCTGCACGGGTTGCAGCAGTAAACACAACACCCCCTGACCCACTGGGAGGACTGGAGGGGTGGCCAGGAGGAGAGAAGTGAGGGTACTGCTGTTGTCTCCTCCCAGCGCCCCCTAAGCAGACAGCTTCCTACATCAAGTAGTCTGGACTTGGAGATAAAGAAGTAGCATTGAGAAAATTTAGAGAAAACATTTTTATGAAACAAAAAAACAGCATGTGGACCAGCTGAGTGTTCAAAAAGACAAAATGGCAAATAGAGGAATTTGGCACATCTGAAAACAGGGTTTAATCCTCACAAGACAAACTGTCGCCTGAAGATGAAAATATGAGTTGCTGGTAAGATTCTACACTGAATATAACCATTTACATTTTTCTGCTGCTGTTGAAAATAAGCTGAAATGCTGTTTTCTTACTTAAGCGCTTTCCCCAGCATTCCCCATGAAAACCAAGAACAATTTCTACCCACACAGCAGCACAGCACCAAATGGGTGAGGAGCTTTGGCTGGTTATCTGCCTCTGGGATGAAGATGTGAGGGGAGAAGGACAGCTTCCGTCCTGAGCAGGGGCCTGGCTGGGGCTCCAGGAGGAGCTGCGATGACTCAGGGTGAGTGATGCGCTTTTCTACAACGGTCCTTGCAGAGAACGGTCAGCCCAAGAAGGAGGTACAAACCGCCCACACACACAGACCCAACAGGCTTGCCCCTTCTCTCAAGGGGCCTGGCTGGTGATGGGAGATGAGGGGCGTACAGGGCCTAGGGGGAGGGCCCCACAGGACAGAAGGCAAGTGGGACTAAGGACAGGCTGATGGGTAAGCTTCTGTCATCTTTAAAGACGAACCAGGAGACAGATGACAATACCGACTTTACAAGGTTATTTGTAGTTTAGCTGGGTTTTGGTCCTAATGAAAATCCCCACTGTATTTAATCTCCAATTCAAAACAGATATGGGGTCCTATTATCATTAGTCCCACAATTGAGCATTTGAAAAAAACAAATTCCACCTGTATTGCCTAAAACTATCTAATGGCGTAACAAGATACCACAATAAATTGACAGTCATAATTTGTGTGTGTTTTAAAAATCTATGTACACCTGAGAGGGCAGTGATCTAGGGTGTCTCCCCCTTGGCACCGCTGACATTGTGGGGGGCTGTCCTGGACACTGTGGACTGCTCAGCAGCATCCCTGGCCCACCCATTCGATGTCAGGAGCACCCCTTATTAATGACAACTCCAGATGTTGCCATGTGCCCTTGGGGTTGGGGAGGGAATGGAGAGGGAGGTACAAAACCACTCAGTCAGCCCCACCAATAGAATCAAAAACCTGCCTTTTAAAGTGTACTTATTGCCAAATGTTGCCGACACATCACTTACTACGGTTGTAAATCAATTTTAGTGAAAACAAAAGTGCTAGTCCAGAACCACACACAAGAGTGTGAGCACAGAACTTCAGCTCTACCTGGGACATGCGGGTGCGTAAGGTTCTAGCGGTGCTGGCCACCAGGATGACGGCCGCTGCCTGCGGGCACGGGGTCCTGGCATGTCGGGTGTCTCACCTCTTTGTCCATACTCTCTAAATCCTCCTTACACAGTGTGTACAGCGGCATTGTCTCTGACATGCTGGGCTGTCGCTTTCTTCTAGAAGGACCAGGCTGCTCTCCATCTTGATTATCTGGCAACTCTTCACCAAACATCTGCTGTTGATGTGGCTGAACAACTCTGAAATGAATTTTATAGGTCCCACATGAGGAAAGTCAGTTTGAATTCACCTTTTCAGCACTGAATCAGATTCCTGACTCTTGGAATAGGTAAACAAATAAATACAAACAGAGAATATTTTACTTATGAAAAAACATCATGTCTTGTCAACCTCGTTATGCTTTTTCAGAGTTTGTTTACTAAATCAAATCTCTGCTAGTTGAGCCAGGCTGCGTGACCAATCATGCTTACGTTTCCTCCTGCTGAAAGCTAACACCTACCTTCTTTTGTCAACAAAACCACCACTGTTCACAGAGAGCATCCATTTGGCTCTGCTCATTTTAGAACAAAGGGCAAAATGTGAAGAGAGATGATGATGAACAGTTTCCTAGAAACTAGCGGGAAATGTTATTTATCCTCAAAATAAGGTCAAGCAAGCTGTAAGATTTAAAAAAAAAAAACCAAAAACCAAACAAACCATTTCTATACTATCCAGGCTACAAAAAAACAGAAAAAAAATGTGATTGTGAATTTAAGAAATGGATGCACTGGGCTGAAGTCAGTCATATGCCCACGAAGGACAGGGACAGAGAATTCAAGATGATGTCTGCAGAGGAACGAGTAAATGTCACTGCAAGAAAAAGCGACCTTTCATTTCAAGGATGCCTCTGTCCTAGGGCCAACACCAAGCTCACGTCACAGTGACTCTTCTATGACATCACAATTATAGTTCCATCTCCAAGTCTCTTAAAGCTTCCCTCCACAGACACACTTTATCTCCTCATGTCAGGTCTCATGAGCGTGCTGCATAATTTAACGGGATTCTCCGTGAAAGCTGCAGTCATGCTCTCCTTGGAGTGGCAGTTTCTAGAGTCAGTTGCTCTGTGGGGTTGGGAACCAGACGAGGAAGCCTCTAGCACCTCACTGCCATCACCAACCACATGCTCACTCGCCAAGACACTAAAGACAACGTACTGAAATGTTGTGAAGAAAATGGGGGTATTAAAGTCCAAACTACAGAATTAGAAAGAAGCAATTGTATTAGGCTAACCACATGTCATCTAATGAAGGTAAGATTTTTTTCACCCAGGAATACAAAGACTACCTAAAAAAATGCTGATCTCTGCTTATTCAAAAGTCAGACTATGTTCCTAGCCTCGTTGCTGACCCACCCACCACAAAGTATTAACACAGCTCAAGTGCTTCACATCCCATCTTCCGAAGTGGACACTGGGGTACACTTCAGTTCACACCCACTTACCGTCAGCTCCAAACACTGAAAGCTCCTATTATAAATATGGAAACATGGCAAAACTAGCTTTTTACTAAAAACAAATGTATGACCGTCTCTCTTCAGAAAAGTGGTTTCATAGTTTTAGCCAAAACACGAAATGTGAGAAAACAAGTATACCCCTCTCTGGAAGCTGACCAGGAGCCTGCTGATCTCAAGCCTGGGGCTGAACCTGATCTGCAGGCCCGGGGGCGGCCCCCACACCAGCGTCCACAGGGGTGCCGATTTCACGTGCACAAGCAAAGGCACATTCTCTTCAACTTGTACAACATGTGAGTCACCAAATCGAGGGTTCCCGAGACCCCCTCAGGGCATCTATGAGATGCTCCCTTTTCCAGCGACACAGTAGGGGAGGCCAGACAACAGATCATAACAGGCTGACGCAGAGGCAGGGGGACCACTGTCCTCCACTAAGCCAAAGAGATTCCCCAAAATGCAAAGTAAGCCACACTTTTCCATTATACTTCTTTTTGCTTTGGAAATAGTTATTTTTCATTAAAAAAGTGTTATTGTGTTAACATGTAATGTTTTATTGTTATTCTAAAATGAATGAATAAATAAATGAGTATTTAAAAGATGTGTCAGTTTTAATTTCTAATATGGTAAACACTGGTAGACAAAACCACAGGAGGAAAAGCTCATGGCTTCTGACACCTGGAGGGCCAGCTCTATCCCTCTACACCATGCTGCTCTCACGTCTCCTGAAAAACAGGAACGTACATGTGAGAGGAAATAAAAAAACAAAAGATTCATTGTCGTTTCTGAAATCAGAAGTTGGCCTTTCACTTCTGGAAAGGAGTCGATGTGCTTCTCCCCATCCTCCCACAAACACAACCCGAGACCCTTCACAGATAAACATGGCAGATGAGAAAGGTGGAGAGAAGGCAGCCTGGCTGGACCCCTGGGCCAGGGGCAGCACAGCAGTGATTCTCTGGTTCCCTTCTGCTCAGACATCCCAGGGGCTGGCAACCCAGAAACACAACAGGTAGACACAAAGCCCCAAGAGCAGCCTGCTCTCTCCAGGAGAGGACAGAAAACCTTCAGACAATAACTGTTCCACTTCCGGCCGACACTACAGAAACCAGGACCCCCACCCACTGGCAAGGCCCAAACCCTGCCAGTGGTCTCAGAGATGCCGAGTGGGGATCCAGGACCTTCCTCCAAGCCAGCCAGTAATGAGCCCCCCAATCACCAACGCAGTGTCAGTGGAGACCGTGGCGGGGGCAGCCTGGACGTCCACCCCCACCCTGCAGTGACTGGGAGATTTCACCATCACCCAGTGGTAACGTGGACACCCGCCTGGCCCCATGTCAGCAGTGACCACGGGGGGAGCTGGAACTCCAACGGCAGCCCAGCAGTAACAATGACCCCCATCTTGGGTGTCAGCAGAGGCCGAGTGGGACCTGGACTCCCCCCCACCCCACCCAGGAATAATGAGGTGGTGCCTCCACCTCTGCTGCTGGAGCAGAGCCAGAGAAAGCCAGATAAACAGAAGGTTTACATTAGGTCCACCCTCTCATAAGGAGATGTGCAACTGTCCGGGTTTCAAGTGAAAAGCACTCGTCATACTAAGACCAGGAAGATCTCAAACCGAATGAAAAAGACCATCAGTAAATGCCGACTCTGAGATGACAGAATTATCTGACAGATTTTAAAGCATCACGATAAAAGGTTTCAACAAGCAATTATAGCACACTTGAAGTAAATGAACAAATAGGAAGCCTCAGCAAAGAAACAGAAGATACAAAGAAGAATGTACAAGAATATATAAAGAAAAACATAAAAATCAAAACAAAACACTCAGTGGATGGACTCAACATCACAACGGAGGCAACAACGCCATGAACTGGGAAAAATCACTCTGTCTGAACGACAGAGAGGACAGAGGCTGAAAAGGAAACAACAAACACAGCTTTGGGGACACGTGAGATGGTAACAAGAGTCAACATCCGTGTCACTGGCATCCCAGCAGAAGAGGAGAAACATGGCAGAGCTGAAAGAGTACTTGAAGAATAATACCTGGAAACGCCCCAAATTTGGCAGCAGACCTTCAGATTCAAGACGCTGAGTGAATCCAAAACAGGATAAACCCTCCAAATCCACAGTAAGAGACATCATAATCAAACTTCAAGACAAGGACAAAGTCTGGAAAGCAGTGAGAGACGTTCCTCTACCTACAAGGGAAATACACCTCGAAAGGACAGCCCACAAGCCTACCAACACAGATAAGGCACGTGTAAATTCAACACCCACTCACGATGAAAACTCACAGAAAAATAGGCAGACGGGAACTTCCTCAACCTGATCAAGACCATCTGCAGGAAACCTACAGCTGACATCGTACTTAAAGGTGCAAGACTGAATGTTTTCCTCCTACGATTAGGATTTAAAGGCAGAAATGCCCAGAGATCAATGGAACGGACAGAGAACCCAGAAACAGACCCATAAATATACTCAACTGAGTTTTGACAAAAGTGCAAAAACAAGACAATGGAGGAGAGACAGCCTTTTCAACAAATGGTGCTGGAGAAAAAGAAAGACCCCGACCTAAAGTTGCACACCTCGTACAGAACTGACTCAAAATGGATCACGGACTAAATATAAAACATAAAACCATAAAACTTCAGAATAAAACATAAGAGAAAATCTTTAGGATCTAGGACTAGGCAGAGAGTTAAACTTGATGGCAAACGCATAACTCATGAAAAGAAAATGGATAAACAGAACCTCACTAAAATGAAAAACTTCTGCTCTGCCAGAGACTCTGCTAAGAGGATAAGAAGATAAGCTGTGGAGTGGGAGAAAATATTTGTAAGCCACATAATTGACACAGGACTAGTATCTAAAATATATAAAGAATTCTCAAACTCACCAGTAAAAACAAACAATTCCATGCGAAAACGGGCAGAAGATGTCTCACTGAAGGGACCCCTGTGGGCAGAGCAGCCCACGAGAAACGTCCAACATGGCTCACACAGGCTGAAAGCACACCGCCACGCACCCATCAGAGCGGCGAAGATAAAAAGCGGCGAACACCAAACGCTGACAAGGGTGCAGAAACAGTTCTACACTGCGGGGGGAGCGTCAAATGGTACCCTCACTCTACAAAGAAGCTGGGCAGCTTCTCAGGACACTGCACACACACTCGCGACACAACTCAGCAACCACACGCCGGGGCACTCATGCTGCAGACACGGAGACTTACACAAATGGTTATAAGCAGCCACTCGTAAGAGCCCAAAGCTGGACACAAGCCAGATGTCCTTCAAGGGGTGAACAGTTTGGGGTACAGCCTTACCAGGAACTACTACTCAGCAGTGAAAAGGAAAGATGACTGATCAGTAGGACATGGATGAACCTCCAGGGACTGTGCTGAGTGAGCGTGACACACCGCATGATTCCATTTATAAACCGTTCTTGGAACAATGGCAGTATAGGGACGGAGAACAGATCCGTGGTTAAGGATGAGGTCTGGGGGTGGAGCTGGCCGAGATGCAGATGGCTGTGGCTATAAAATAGCAGCAGGAGGCCCTGGAGGTGAAGGATGCCCCGTGTCTGGACCGTATCAGAGTCAGCATCCTGGCTGTGAGACTGGGTTGCAGTTTTGCAAGATGCTACCATTGGGGGAAGCGGGTAAAGGGCACACGGGATGTCTCTGTGTTATCTCTCACAACTGCCTGTGAATCTACAATTGTCTCAAAATAAAACCGTTAATTTAAAAAAAATCAAA